AACAAAAATTATTTACTACTCTTCTCGGTCAAGAACAGCCTCTAACATCCTGCCATGTTCGCTTCTGCATATGCTGTATATGCTTTAAGAAAACTATGCCAGAAGCATATTGATTAGTAGCCTCTCACTGTTTATTTGGAGTATGCAATAAATCTTGTGCCATATCAATTATCATCCTTTATAAATTATTCTTAATTGCATTAAACCCTTGCAAATCAGATATTTGGGCCCAATTCCTGTTGCTATTTTGGCCATTGTTCCACTACTTTTGTCAGAACGATGGCTAATTATGCATACAATCAGAAATACATTCTAGAATTGGCGATTTAGGTGTGGCCAATTCCTCACAAAAAATTTACCATTCCACCACGAGCCACTGCACAAATTTAGAATGGCCCAGAGTGAGCAGGTCTTTGGTGCTCTACTTTTTACCAAATGTAATCCAATATCTATGTATACAGCACCTTTACTTAAATGCCAGACTGGAGGCTCTCACGCACATAGAGATGACATTGATGATATAAAGCCAAACATGTGCTAACCACCATGCCACGGCTGCCCCATTGTGTTTAAGTAGTGCTAAGCCATATTTCTCTCTAAGAATAGGTTTGCATGTTCACCACAAGTATGTGTGGTATGATTCCCTGCAAAAGGTTTATGTTTGGTATTTGAACATCTTAACAACTGTTTAATTGTCAGAAAGGGTAAAACCTACTTTGATACTGGCAAAAAAGGACCCATGTTGTAGCAGACCTCTGTTGAAGGTGGAGCAACTGTGTGTTCATGCGGGAGACAGATCAGAATCTGATTGGTCGGCCTCATAACAGAGGAATTCTACAACAGTGCAGAAACGAGGGTTACGTAAATCAGGCCTTTTTATATCAATGAGTGCTCACTACGTTTTGAATAGATCCGCTACAAGCTGCTGCTGCTGCGAGTTTACGTCGTTCCTACATGTATTACAGCACTAGTAAGACCTCGTTGTTGATTGAGACACTGATTACTTCGATGAGACACTGATTACTTAGATGCTTGAAGGACATTTGATCAACACGCTTGACCACAATATAAGCTCCAGGCTCAAATTTAGAAAGTGCAATTTACGACCTACAGGCCTGGAGATATATATGTAGATTAAGAGATTGAGATATAGATGAACAAATTAAGTGATATATGGATTATTGGATGTGTTTCTTTAACAGGAAAGTAATACAATGATTTAGGTAAGTACTTTTGATGTAGGGATGGCTCGATGAAAATGTATTTACATTTGTTGCAAAAGTACTACCATTGAAAATATTAATCGAATGAATGAATGCGATATGATGATAATTTCATCATGATTATATTTGACTTAATATCCTTTTATATGCTGAAACACTAATTTTTTCATGTTTCTCATATACTACTGTTTTCTACTTTCCCATAATATCGTTAGAACAATTGCTTTTCATGGCAAATGCTTTCATCCAATCTCTTCATATTAATCAGGAAAAATAAACTCAACTAAATTCCACAGGGCCAAAGTCATGCGTCTTGTAAAAGCATGCGAGAGTAAAGCCTGCTTCTGCCACCCCAGGTTCTGGAATCATGACGAATTGAAAAGTATAGGAAGTGTGATATATGGAGGCATGGCATCTCTGCACAGTGGGCACGACAGGTTATTAATGTCTTCGCAATGAAAGGGCCATTAACATTTAATGCTCACAGTGACTTATATTAGATTCATGTGGGCTAAGGTTTCTTGCAGAAAGTATGTCTCGGCATCACTTTAAGTGGACATGACATACAAGTGTGATGAATGTAATTGAATGACCTTAACAAACCCTCTTGGCTTTCTTCGCGCCAACTCTGGAGTGCGAGTGAGCATCTATGGGGTCATACACAAACACAGGTTACTGAGCTGTATAATTGATGTTTTCACTAATTTATCAATTTGTACCACATTGTTTTGTTTCTGTTAGATTATTCCAGTTACACGTGCCTTGCTTCACGTAATAATGCCCATTGTGTATTCAGGATAACATCGCTGAGTCTCAGGATACATTTGACGTATTCTATAAATGAGTGTTGGCATGGTGGAAAGAGTCTGCAGTACTGTGAGAAAACAAATGCATAAGGGGACAGCACACAGTGCTCCATATAGATGGATTGAATCTACTTGATGCACTGCCAACCCTGGCCATCTCACGACCCAGTGGGCGAGGGAGTTTAAAAAATGTGTGATCTTCCAGGCCTCTCTTGTAGATCACACCGTGCACCAATTACTTTTAAAGCAATGCATTTTGTAATACTTTATACATCATGTGTTAATGTCAAAGCGTCTTAACATATAAATGGCGTGTTAATGTATGATCAACTCCAGAAAATATTTTAAGCGTCAAATGCCACTTTAAAATATGCATAGAACAGAATGTCAAGCGTGTCATTCAATTTAGAATAAATGAAAGCTAGCATTTACTTGTTTATTCGCAAGACTACATTTGATACCAATGGGTTTCAATCCTGAAATTTGATCCCTGCAATATCTTGCAGTGTGATATCAAATTATTTAATTGTAAATGTCAATATTTGAAGACTGGTCCAAAATAAGATTGGGATGGGTGTACACACTTTATTAACAATGGGTTTTTAAGTAATTCTTTATCAAATATAGTTATTGGGTGGAGGTGGCCAGGGTGGCACAGAAGCTCTCTGGTATAGAGAGTCGAAGGTCTAATCCCAGTCACAGAAGAACAAAAAAAACCCATCACATGATATAGGATTTACACTTGATATGGCTAATTTTAGCTGATGTGGTAGCAACATGGGAAGGAAGTCAGACCTACATATATCAGTGTGTCCACTCTGCAATCACCTAATAGAAGAACTTCAGTGAGAGTTCACCCCTGCTATGGAATGGATAAAAAGGCAATTTGAAAGATTTTTCATATGTCCTGTGAAAAATCACTTCCACAGTCTATTCTGCCACACGGGGTGCTATTGCTGTGTGCTTCAGAATGGATTCTTTGTCTCGTGACAATAACTCCAACGTCACAATTGGACATTGTAAAAGACTGAAGCAAATAAATAAATACTTGTTTTCTTGGCCAGGAACTATTTTTTAAGTGTAGTGAGAACCCTGACTGCACTTCATGGGAGTAGTTTAATAACCACAAAAATATGCTTTTGAGAAATCTACTGATATAAATGATTGCAGTTACCAGGTAGTTCATTGTCCTTTTGTCAAATCATCACTCATTTTTTATATTCCACAAGACATTTGTTATACTTTGGAAACTTTAACAGTAGTAATCTTTGTAAACTAATACAATGCGTGTGTCCTGTTACCTGTGAAAGTATAAGCTCTTGTACCCATTCAAGATGCTTATTTTGATGCTTTCTAGGCTTGAATTGCATTGGATGCTGATTCTACAAAATGTTATAAACAAAACTTTTGAGAATACTTTGCATTGTGGGACAGATGGAAGCAGTTCACACTCTTCAGCTGTCACCCATGAGCCATATACACATAAGTACTGTAGTGTCATGGGAAAGTAGACTACAGCAACATTATTCACATTTACATATGTATCTGGGGTGTAATGATGCGTTTATTCATATCAATTCTTAGGCTCGCAAGAAATGATTCGAATCACATGGATAAAAACCATTGTTTTTTGGCTTCATACATCCTGTACGGAATAGGTTTATGTTTGCCCCCCCCCCCCCAGCTGCTCGAGGCCGCTACATTTGCCACGATGTTTAAAAATATATATATCCTTGAAACAAACCGTGACCCTCAATAATTAATTGACTTGCGAGTCAATTAATTATTGCGGGAACGAAGCGCTACATCCCTAAATGTCCACAGCTGTTTCAGTCAAAACACGACCATTACAGAACTATAACCTTCAAGGGCAAATATCAATCAATCGATGTTTATTTTTGATAAAAGCTACCACCAGCACTCATTTACCAACTGAGTGGATTGTACTTCAAAGTTGTTGGGGGGTTTATTTTTACAAGTAAGGTTCACTACAGTGCAATATTTGCTCGGCGTCACCAGCGTGAGCCTTGACAACAACGTGGAGGTGTGCACGCAGGTTGTGCATCACCAACCACGTCGACAGGTTCACCGTCGATTCGCAGTCAGAGGCTGGCCGGACAGCTCCCTTTGAACGCTTTTGTTCCTTGCTACATCCGCGAGAAAGGAAAGTTCCACGGATTTACGTTGGGGCCTGTTGGGGCGCCATGATCCAACCACCGTTGAAACAAGTTGTGAATATCGGTTCTATACTCAGACGTATTGAGGAGAGAGAGAGAACGTCCTCGATTGTATGCGGATGGATACTGCCGTGCTTGGCATATTGATGACGTTCTATTTATCACAATAGAACACTCGAATTAGCCATGAACATTTGGTTGCACTGTGATTGGATGCTTACCCTCCAAAAACTACTCCACATCTTTAAAGCATACGCTCAAGTATCAATCTGTTTAACACGTAGGCTTTCGCGACCATTCTGGCGAATTGCCCGATGATGCTGGATGCAATTACCAGCGAAACGTCGGACTCAAATTGTAAATGTTGTGGTTTCACGCTTCAACACACCGGTGGGCTAAAGCAGTGAACTAATTGTCCTTTGTCAACGTGACACTTTTTTACTGATTGGCCGTGTCGGGTGGTGGAGGGTTACGACACATTTATAAATAACGCGATCTAAACCCAAAAACGTTGATTATGAAGTATCAATCTGTTGTCCGACAAATGGCGAGAATGACGTAACGCAAGGGTTGCGAACTGTTGTTGAAATAAACGTTTAAGTGTGCTATGCTTTGTTGTTAAAGTGCAGTCATCGTGCCTGGTGGCATTTATACTTGATAAGTGGTTTAAAAAATCTGAAATTGTGGTGTATTGGCTGAAACAGCGTGCATGTGAGGTGAATGCTGAAAGGATGTCGATGGTGATACGACGCTCATCTCTGCAACGATTTGTTTCTGTTCCCCTGTCTTAGCAGGGCCCCGTCCACCCTCGAGATAGCTCGATTAGAGCTGAGGGTGCAGAACACGTCCTCGGTCAGGCGGGCGGTGCGGCGCCTGACCTGGCTGGTGGGGCCCACGGGGAGGGACCTCCCCTACCCTCCAGAGGTCAACACAGACATTCCCTTCAGCCCGAGTGGAATTCGCAGCATCGTCCCCCTCGCCATGGTGCGCACCAGTGATGAGTGCCGTTACCAGAAGCCGGATTAACGCGGGGGGCTTCAGAGGCCACAGCCCCACAGGGCCTTGGACTTTGAGAGACCCCCCAAAAATGTCCCGTAAACTGCGTTATAATGGTTGAAACGCATGACTGTGATAAATCCTATAGGTCAGTGGTTTTTAACCTTTACTGCAGCTTTGCACCTCTTGGGTTCTCAATCGTTAAATAATGTATAATGTTAATAAATGCATAGGTTTGGTCAAACGGAATAGTTGTATTTACGTGCCCGTGCTTAATTTGTGTTTCGATGATTTACCTTCTAAAAAAATCTGGCAATGTCTCGCACTCCCAGAAAGGTCATCTCGCACCCCCTAGGGGTGCCTGCACCCCAGGTTAAGAACCACTGCTATAGGTAAAATGCTCGTTAAAGACATAGCATCACTCAATGTAATATTACCTATTATGTGTTTCAATGTAAATATTTTTTTTGTTTAACTCTGGTTTAACTTTACAATTCGTTTGTCACATTTCAGAACCAGAATTTTAATAACAACAACGATAAATAACAATGGAGTTTTTGGCATCGGGCACAGATGGTGGTAAAACAGTAAAGGGAAGAAATTTAGTTCATAAAGAAGGCCCCAAAAATTCGAACAACCCTTGGGCACCTGTCCAACTAAATCTGGCCCTGAGTATTATGTGTGTGCATGGTGTGAGGCGACATAAAACAGTAGCATAAACTCATGTATAAACTCCAACAAACCTTACCCAGGGATCTTGGGGCTTAATTATGGTATGTGACCGATACACTACATGATAATGGAGGCATCTTTCACATGCAGTCTGGAATCCGTTATAATTGAGAGTTACGAGCTCAGAGGACACGTAAGTGAAATACTGCCAAAATATAACACTGTGTATATTCAACATTTCCAACCACAGAAGCTAATTTATGGAATTTATGGCCTTTTTGGGATTTTCACGACTTTATTTCAATACATTGCAATTTGGATATATAGAGGAGAAATGTGACTGCATCGTAAGATGCAGTACAAAACATGGAGACATATGAATCGAGATAATTTGACGTTAAGGGATGGTGTAGTGTTTTTTATGGTGTAGCGAGGTGTAGTATTTTGTTTCGTTTCAGAGGGAAAGGACTGATGGATGGAAGCTAACATGAAGAAAAAGGAAAGGAGATGCAACGTATAGTGTAGTGTGAATAAGGACACTTAAGATAGTCAGTAATCAGAGGAAAAGTCATAAGGTCTTTCGCTTATACTTGGACAATCAACAGCATTTATCAGCCACTGCAAGGGAATTTCAGACAATGAGGCAGCAACCAAGAATGTGCAGACCTCCCAATGACTGGAACTGACAACAAGACTTTGACGGAAGGCCTTGGCTGCTGAAATATGAAGAAAATTAAACAAAGCAGTTCAACATAAGCGGGATAGATCGGCAGAGATAGGTCCATGGAGGGCATAGAAGGCACGGAGGGTGATTTTTGTAGTTCGACTTATCTTGGATTGGGAGCCACTGGAGGGATGTGAAAATTGGCGTTACGTCATGTAATTTAAAGTTCGAGATGAAAAGTCTGGAACTTTGAAAGATTGGAAGGGAGTTGAGGAAACTTTAATTTTAAGGTCTTTGCCGCAGATGGCCAAGAAAGTGGCAGATGCAGATGTTGTACAAGTGAATGTAGGATGCCCTGAAGAGTTGAAATGTAGGGTAAGAATGATAATACATGGTTAATTCTGACTCTTAGGGTTCTGACATTGTTGACCAGCTTGATGTTGGTATTTGTGAGGAGCATGCCAAACGAGGTCTTTATTGAGTATGGACCCTTTACTGATGAATGATACTTCATTTTTGGGAAGCTGTAGCTGATAACGATTCAAACCCATTCAATATGAGTGTGCAACAAAACAGGATGGAAGAGTAGATAGTGAGATGGGGTCTGCTAAGTCAACCTGAGTGTTATCAGCAGAACAGGGCTGGTCGATATTGAAGCTTGAAGTGATGTTTACAAGTGGGCAGAAATTAGATTGAGAACAGCAGCGGCCTGAGTATCTAACACCGTGTAATACCATAATCAGAGGGGTTTCTGAGAGGTTAGTTATTATATGAAGACCTATGTTCTCCTTACATGATAAAAAATAAACTGATTTCGTGAAACTATTTGAATCAAAACTACTATACGTGTCCAGGTGGTGTGAGGCCCAGATCACTGTGCTGGTACCACTGGGTTTCTGGGTTTGAATCTGGGTTTTAGCCGCCCATGGTAAAACTGGGATCTCAAGTGTAGAAAGATAATGGTCTCAGTTCCGCCACCAATGACTGCACAAAAAAACCCATGATGCATACATTTTGTTTGCACTTAATTTGACTAGATTCCAGGTCGGAGAATTAAGTTTGACTGTCGCATGACGAAACTTCCCAAAGGCAGAATGGGATGTGAAAGCGTGGCCCCTCCTGTGTAAAGGACAAAAAGGCCACTAGAAGTATTTTTACGGAGAATTCCTGAGAATATGTCCTCCACAGCCAGTCTCTGACACACAGGGTTGACGGCTCTGAGAGATGTATTTACGTATTCTTCATCTCAAGATATGAACCTGAGAGCGCAGTTGAAATAATTAGTTGGGAAAAGACCAAAGAAAAAAAAAATACTTCCTTGAGGAAAGGTATAATTAACAATTATCTGAAAAACAAATAGTTTTTTAAATAACGATTTAGTCAAAACACTAGCCTAGTTTGTGTGTCTTCATGTAAATATGGAATGTAGTCGGAGAAGTGTGATAGAGAAGAGCAGAATCTGAGAAAAGAGCATGCGAGAGAAAAGAGAGTTTTGAGTGTGTGCATGGGAGGATGGCCAGTGGTGTCGAACGCAGCAGTGAGGTCAAGAAGGGCCCAGAGGGAAAGAGATCCACAGTCAGAATCAAGGAGGGGGGTCAGTGACAACAAAAAGGAGGGCAACCTCAACCAAATGGTCCTGTCAGAAACCAGATTGGGCTTTGTCGTGAAGACCATGGACAGCAAGAAAGATATATTTATAAAGGTGCAGAAAGATAACCCTTCTCGGACACCCCCCCCCCCCCCCCCCAAATAAGGCTATATATTTTATTTTTTTCTGCAACATTGTTATTTTCATAGCTGTACATACTACAACTATAAATAAAATGGCATCGTTATTGCAAATATTAGCTAGAACTAGCGAGTACACTTACAGTCTCACACATAAGACTCTAAAATGACACAGTGCTTCCCTGTGATATTTATTCGTAGCCTCAGGGCTTGGTCAGAGGCTCCAACCAACGTAAATATTAATAGTGTATTGCATCAAGGTAAAAGGTCAGTGGAATCGGGTTTTCTTTACAGCGGCTGTCTCCGCACATTTTTCAAGACAGCTGAATGCCATCCATTGCCGAGCATGCCAGATATCTATCAGAAACGATGAAATAAATGCACATTGTTTCGTGCTGTAAATCTGGATTAACACTTAAAATAGTCACGTTAAAGCAATGTTTCAATGCTCTGTAGTATTCCACAGTGATGTTTTTATTTTTGCAAAAATATTGCCCATTGTGTGAACAGATCGTTTGCCAGTGTGGCTTTTGTAGAACACCCTAACTCGGACATCTCAAAAATGTGGCTCACGGGGAAAAATAGAAGAATACAAACTTAATTTGACTATAATTACTTAGATTTGAGTGTTGTACAAAAATGTGTACATATATTCCAATATGTGAATGATGCTGTGTCATATAAATTCCATTTTCTAGTATTTATGCTTCATGACTCATTTAAGTCGTAATGAACCCCCTAACAACAACAATAACTGTTATTCCCAGACATTCATGGTGATTGTTCCCGATATGCATCTGCAGACTTGCTTTTTCTTGCCATCTTTCAGTGGCATTAATCTTCGGGTTATTTGCTGAAAGGGAACATTGGTGCCATTTTGTTTTTGTCAACGCTACAATTGTTCCACCATCTGGCAGATGACGTTGTTCTCGTACCAACATAGCCGAAATGCGCATTACGATAATGAAAGATGGCAACAAATGATTACGCCCACTGATTCGACAAACAGGGCCTTGACATGGCAATTTCAGCTGTGCTTTCCGCAGTGATTGGCACCTTTTCACGTTCTCGGTGATGTACGGACCAAGTACAAGTTGTAATGAGAGGAGCCATTGGAAATCAATAACAATGGCATCACAAAGGAAACCAGACTCATCCTTCACGATGTAACTAGAGTGCCTTCGGGGCGTTCGGTGCAGCAACTAGCTAATGGCAGCAGCTCTTGAGAACATGATTGGGCTACTGTCACAATCTATATTGAATCGTGGTTGTTTTTTCATCCTCTGCTCAGGTTATTGATGATGTAAAAAAATGAATGCCTCAAGTCGCTATCGATAGCAAACACAAAGACATTTCAAAATGGACTAATGTTGATTATTATATACTCAAGGTTTGGTGACCTCTTGGTATTTAAAGGTGAAAGGGAGGGGGGGGGGGTGATGCGGTATGAAACGTGAAATTCTGTGTGACGTTTCAGCCACTTGTCTGATCTGTGTCTGGCAGTCCCATGAGCTGGTGAACACAGCAGTGCTGACAGGCAAGATGGTGAAATTACCTCTCAGAGTTGTTGCTATTTATTCAAATGGAAGAGTGACAGATGTGTCTCAGCATGCTGAGTGTGTCTCGCTGGATAAAGACATCATAAAGGTACCTTGTGCCCATGTGCTCACTGCCTTATATGTATATATGTGCAATAATGTATCGTCGCTTCTGTCCTTTTATCAGTTTTTGAAAATTCCAGATAGATGACTCCGTTTTGACCAACATACCCTTTTTTATGAGGCCATATAGGACAGCAACTCGCTTAGAAGCATTATGATTCATCGTTATATTGTGCTGCCCATTTGAATACATGAGCTAAAGATTATAAATAAATAAGAATCCCGTCGTAGTAAAAATATAAATCAGTCTGGATGAGCAAGTATGTCAAAATGAGTCACGATTTCCCTCAACGATGGCCACTCTCGTAGACTTCTTTACGTAGAAACAAGAAAATGTAATGATAGCCCTGCCAACTTCACACCATAATTTCTGACTGGAGTTCCTGAAGACACATATAAGGCTTCGACAGGTCACAATTTATGGAGGTGTTTAAACATGTGTAGTGAGTTCAACTGAGTCACAGACATACACTTGGAGGCAACACATTTATTTGACACCAACACACGGGGTAACTGCCCCTTAACAGAATAACAACCTATGGTGGTGACCACCAGGCTAACTACACTAATTATAACGTTACTAGCTACTACGGACCGGGACCACAGCTTGGGACCAGGTCCAAGTATTAGAGACTCGGTAGGACGTAGAACGTAGACGAAGGTTTCTTCAGGATGAACAACAACGCCGGTGCCTCTGGGGGACCCGGCTTATATTCTCTGCGGCGTGGCTGGCTCTGTCCTTGGCCACGACCACCTTCCAGAATCCTCGAGCAGGATCTGGACCCCGACCACGTGACCACCCCTAGCCCCCACTCGAGGCCCCTTTGTAGACTTAACTGGTCACGTGTCCTCTCGGGTCAACCAGAGTGACTTTTAGTAACCTCATTCCTACGGCCGGCACTCCCACACCCTATCCTGTAGGGCTGGCACTGCACGCCAAGCGTGGTGCCATCCAGCGCTATCAATCAGCGCTCACCGGGCCCCTTTAGGGCCGATACTACACCCATACCACGTGGTGTCTGTGATGTCGCTACACCGCACGCCGTGTCTCTCTAGGGCCGGCACTACACAGTGACATCCGGCATTACTTCATATTTAACAAATGCTATTTATATATATATGACAGCATGTAATTTCGTCAATAATGGTGCGATTCAATGTGTTTTTTCCTTATAATGGATGGGTTTTGTGTGAGTTATAATGTATCACACATTTGAAAACTATTCATGAAGATTACAGGAAATTCAATTTTAGAAAGGATTAAGAGACCAAAACAACACCATGAGAGAGCTCGGGATTTAGCAAGCTATTTTTCATACTCGTTAACACATACATATTTCCAAGCAAATCTTTAAAAATGCTATTGATTATGAAATAACACAATGCTTGATTTTTTTTATGATGAAAAGGATTTTGTTTCAGTGGAATTGATGCAGTCATCCAAGCCTTCACATACTGAGGCCTTGACAGTAAACATGCCAAAATTATCCTATTCAGAGAATGCACAAAGTAGCAAAATACAAACATGCAGATTATTCTCATGACAAAACATTTTCTTGAATTTAGATTGGTAAAAAAAAGCAAGCCAAGAATGGGCCATCTCAGATTTACAGCCAATAAAATGCAGCCTATGAAAATTAATTGAAGCACATTATTGAAGAAACCACACAAAAGTTGCAAAGCCTGACTTAATATAAAAATAAGCAAATCAAAAGGAAAGTTTTCAAAGTGAAAGAAAACTGAGCAAAAAAAACATAGAACCTGACCAAAAAATATTACAAAGCTGAAAATACACCAAGTGATCTAAATGCAGTTTTTTTGCAAACATTTATCAGAAAGCACAACCTTTGTACTTATATAGTAATAGGTTTTTACCCTTTCAACTGGTACAAAAACTGACACCTTTATACAAAGGATCATGTTTGCAATAACCACAACACAAGCAGTCAAAATGCAAACAAAAATAAACAACTCGGATAATGATAATGATATGCACTGTCCTTGAAGTTGATTGGTCCACACCCGAGACAGCTTTTCTTAGAGCCTAGACTCCATTGGTTTTGGACCAGATGACGCAAAAAGGCGTACAACTCAAAAACAGCGCACTATCAGAGTATGAGAGCTCGGGGTAAGCATTTACACTATGAAACCTCCTTTACCAGTGGCAAAATATAGTAATAGGTTTTTACCCTTTCAACTGGTACAAAAACTGACACCTTTATACAAGGGATCATGTTTGCAATAACCACAACACAAGCAGTCAAAATGCAAACAATCTAAATGCAGTTTTTTTGCAAAAATGTATCAGAAAGCACCACCTTTGTACTTATATGTCAGTGATTTAGATATCTGCTGCTCAATGAATGATGGTGATATGTTTCATCATCCCAACAAATGAAGCTTGTTCATTAAAGGTCTGAGACTGAATGTCTAACATATTTTTAAACTGATGAAAAAACTGAAGTCAATGTGCAATCGTTGGGCTAGTGCTGCATCCAGATTATTCTACAGCTGAGCCAAATAATTGTACGAACAATGTATGTGAGACACTTGAATACCCTATCACTTTAAACACATCCATTACTCCTGTAAAACAGTTATGTCTTATCTACATAACATTGCTCCAGGCCACACATTTGCAAAGCAAACACAGAAATTCTCATACATGTGTTTTCCAATATCTTGTCTAGACTACTACAATGCCATTGATGGTGGCCGGTCTTCCTAATTCTCCCATGTATAAATTGCAGTTGGTTCCAAATACAGCCACCTCTGTTAATCTGCAGCGTATGGGAATACGAGCACATCACTCCTCTTATCGGAAAATGTATGTGTCTTCCAGTAAAAGAACACATCCATTTTAGGCATTCCATGGACTTGTATTTGCTTATTTCATGGAACGCATTACCCCGTGAAACTCACGTCAGACATTATGATCAGTGGAATCCAATTTCCTGGTAGTCCCACCAACCCATCTGGCTGGCATCAGTGACAGAGCTTACGTCAAAATACCTCCAACATTACTGAACCATTTTTCATTGCGACTTCACTGATGCCTCTTTATAATTTTAATTCCAGCCTCCAAGCCTGGCTCTTTCGTAAGAAATATTCAAAATGAGCATGGCTTATTAAATGAGGATGTGTGTTGAATGCTGCACGGTAAATGTGAGTGCGGTATGATGATGTATGATATGTAGGCTCAATGTAAGACGCCATGGAGTGGTTCCTTGATGAGAGGCGCAATATCAATGTGATTTATCATAATTACCACATCAGTCTCGATTTAAAGCTTTCGTGACTGCAGGGATTCATCTTCTTGGTTCTTTCGGTACTTCCCTTCTACGTGACTTTACCGAAAGAACCAAGAAGATATTACATCAGTCGACGGTAATAATTATGATATTTTCAGTGAATGTTTAATACTGGTGGCCTTAGTTTTGCCTCTTTGTAACCAGGGGTACAGCCACTGTGGTCGTTCGGACACCCACGAAAAATATTTCGTATGGCGAAATGAGATGCCCACCATATTTTGGACAAAAGTCCTGGTGTGTTTTTTATTAGTTGGCGTTTTTCTCGTGGAACAATGTGGCACTTCCCATGAAGACGTGGGGGTGGTGAATTTCCCACAGCCTGTCTGTGATCTGACCAATCACCACTGGGAAGCATTCGCTGGGAGGGCAGGAGGGCATCCCCAACTTCCGAAGTGTTGCTGCGCCCCTCCCGGGTGTAACCATTTGAATGCTGCCACTAGAAGCCAAACAAAGAACCACAACTCAGCGTTGTGAGATACAGTATGCACGAGCGATGCTATAGATATATAAACACCCGTTAACGTTATGTTTAACTCTGATGAGTAGGCATGTAACAATTTACACCCTTGTACAGTTGGATGAATTGTCACTATTCGGGGTCTTTCTTTACCCTTGGGCACATGTAATATGCAAAGTGGTCAAGAATTGTCTATAAGTCTGCAGGGTTTTCAATGAACCAATCATATACAAGATTCAATTATTTGTAAATACTGTAACTGAATCTTGCACCCATAGTTATATGCATTCATCATAAACTTAAGAATGTTTACTCTTTGGTTCTTTCGGTAAAGTCACGTAGAAAGAAAGTAAATTACATAATAGAATACGACGTTTCGATTGCAACACAAGCAATCGTAATCAGGTAGAACTAAATTTTTACGTTTCCAAAAAATTGCTAAGTTTGTTTTCTCAAACTGCCTATTTCTCTCTCTAAAATTTACCAGGCTCTCATAGGTCCATTCGCTCTTTCTCTCCCCCGGCTGCCGCGGGGTGGATTTCCACACAGCTCTCTCATTGACATGCTAATTTATCTGCTCCAGCAGACCCACCTCTCTCTCTGCCCCACCCCCCCTCTCTCTATTTAAGGCCTCGACACAGAGGCATTGGGTCTCTGTGTGTCTATGTTGTGTGTGTCTCTCTCTCTGTGTGTCTCTGTGTAGTCTCTCTCTGCTTGTGTGTCTGTCTGTGTGTCTCCGTGTCTGTGTTTTGTCTCTCTCTCAAATTTAGTTCTACTTAATGACGATTGCTTGTGTTGCAATCGAAACGTCGTATTCTATTATTTATTTTATTTTATTTCTACGCGACTTTACCGAAATAACCAAAGAGTAATTCCTGCAGTCACTAAAGCTTCAAATAAAGTTTAAGAATGTTTGTAACAATTCAAAACATGAAAAATGATTAAGCATCTCGGGGGCAACCGCAACAATAAAAAAAACATGTACACAAAACATCTTAAAATGACGACACGCAACAGAAACATCCAGGGAAAAACTGTTTTGAGTGCAGATCTCACAGGTAGTGATCCAAGTTTCAGTTTATTGGCGATAGCATTCCAGACCCTTGGGGCATCAACAGCAAAGGCCCTTCCTCCAGTATTTGTACGGCAATAAGGAATGTGAAGCTGGGAAATGAGAGAAGACCTTAGGTTACATTGGTTCTTCAAAACAGTGAGGAGATCCAGCAGGTAGTCTGCTGACTATTTTGTAAGTACATCGTGAATAAATAAGATCTGATGCACAAGCCGTCGATCATTAAGAGATGGTAAGTTTGACCCAATGTAGAGATGGCAGTGGTGGGTCCTATATGGGCAGTTCAATACAAATCTTATGGCCGAATGATAAATTAGGTAAAGCTTCAGTACAGTACTGGGGACTGATTTATATACGATGTCACAGTTATCAAGTAGAGGAATTATGGTAGCTTTTATCAATTCCAAACGGAACATAGGGGGGAAGCATTGCTTGTGTCGATACAAAAACCCAATTTTTATTTTGTCTTTTTACCAATATAATCAATGTGATCTTGAAAATGTAGTTTTGAATCAAAAATGACCCCAAGATACCGCTAGATCTTGACTTGCTCTATTTGATCATTATTTAAGGAATGTAATTGGGGGAAAATTATTTCCTGCTTTAGTGCTGCTTAGAAGCATAACACCTTGGATTTGAAGGTAATCAGGACTCGTTAAAGAGCAACTAGCTGATGTTGTAGCTTGTTGAAATCACCCTGGAGCTTAGCAATCACGCCATCCAGAGAGCGGCCAGCAGTAATCAGTATCATGTCATCTGCAAACAGATGTGCGCTGGAATGATCCAGGTCAGTACCCAAGCCATTGACATAAAGAGAGAACAAGAGGGAGCCGAGGATGGAGTCTTGTGGAACCCCTTTAGTCATCTTAACTCTGTTTGAGCTCCAACCATCTATGAATACAGTTTGGATGCGAGAAGAAATGTAGTTTTTTAACCATTCCACTGCGTGCTTGGAGAAACGGAGGCAACTTCTGCTACGATATCTCCACTATGAAGAACACCCATTGCCCAAAATGTCGCCTATTATACAAATGCAGTCTCCTCAAGGCAGAGTTATATTGATGGATGTGTTGAACTCTTATGTGTGTGCACCACTGCCAATGCACCATCACAAACAACAACAAAAACATGTGTACTTTTGTAGTGATGCACTCAGAGACACTAGGAGTAGGAGGCACTCTATTTATTATTAGCCTTCACAGGGTACAAGAGGTAACTACACTTTCAGTCAGGACAGCTCACAGACTGCCTGACTGACAACGCTGAGAAGGTGAAGACGGTGATGAAGACTCCAGCAGCCCGAAGAGATTCCACTCCAAGCAACAGCCCCGAACCTTCGCTCGGGGTCCCCTTTTATCCTCCTTGCTTGGCCTCGCTCTGCCCCCGGCCCCGCCCCCCTTCTAGAACCTACTCGCGGGTTCCCGGGCTTACCTCACGTGCCCCCTCTATCACCTTTGCCCTACATCCCTCTCGCTGCTTATCACGTGACCTGCAGACAGACAGGGCTGCTGCAACCGCAGGTCCCCTTTCTCTGCCAGCAACCAGCGCTATGCTCCATAGTGACCCATTCCATGTCACTACACTTGTATTTGATCTGGACTTTTTGTTGAGCACCACGTGAGCATCCTACTAATTCATCGCTGCGCACACTCCAGGTGACCGAGTCGTGCGACTACGTGTACGTGGACGGACGGGAGAGCGCCGGCTCCACCCGTGCGCACATCCAAGTGACCCACGAGCACTTGCGGGCGAGGCTGGAGCTGGCCGTGTGGCTGCCTCGGCTGCCGCTTCACATCCAGCTCTCCCACTCGCAGCTCGGCCAGGTCAAGGGCTGGAGAGTGCCGATTTCTTACAGCACAAGGTATAAGCTTTGGGCGAACGAGCAGGCCGTCTTTGATACTGCGCTTCCTCGGTAGAATAGCAAGTTTTCTCGAGCGTGTCAAACTACTGACACGCATGACGAATTGTTGTTGGCTTGTTAAATGAGGAGAAAGGAAACTGGAGCGTATCTCTTAATGTGAAGGAGCCAAATTCAACAGATTACTCACAAGCGCAGGCACCACATCGCAAACTTGCCCAAGCTGAAAATTCAATGTTAATGGCCAATCTAAGTGCAACACAGCTGCTCTAAGTGAATTGCGTCTGTTACATCCACTGAATTCACGTTTGGGAAATACTAAATTGTTATATTATTCAACAATTTGGAATTCCTAAAATCTCGCCCTTGGGTTAGAGTTAAAACGGGATTCTTTTTTTACTTAGCCATAATTATATACATCACTAGGCCTGGCTTTCTCCTCATTAAAGTTTTTTTAGGATTTTATAGAGCATTGCATTAAAAAATCAATACCTTTTAAAATGTGTTGGCAATATTGATTACGACTGATGGTAATTGTTCAGGAACGTTTGACCGACGTGCAATAATTTTTACAGACATTGAACAATAGATAAGCATACACTGCAGTGTCAGAATGTGTAATTAACCAGTGCAAACCATGTGAGGACAGTGTGACTATGCCATATGACTTCGTGCGAGTGTGTTTAATTGCAATGTGTTGATTTATTGAACGTGAAGACCATTGTTTTCCTTCACTGTTATTCCAATATCATGTGCTTATCAGTCCTGATACTTAAAACGTAAAACATATCCATATTTTTTTAAAGAAAATTAACAAATGAAGGGCTCGTTGGTAATTATCTGGGTTCATAGCACAGCCCAAGTATATCGTAACGCATGATACAAGGCGCTGGCAAATAGAATATTCTCTCTAGGTGCTTAACAACACAGGAGAGAAGGGTGCCACAGTAGAGAGTGGATTACGTTTTTATGGATCAAGGTTCTTTACGTTTTCAGGTCAAATAGGTTTTTTTTAAATCTCTGTTCCACAGTACAAGTATGGTCTAGGCAACTGCAGTACTCGCAGCTGTGTATCACAGCACAGAGGGAAGACATGTCGTTGCCCATTATGGTGCCCAACATTTCCCCTAAAGCAGCATGCTGACGTTACTCTTTATGTCTATTTGTCCTTGAAGAAGGTAAACTCTAATGATGCCTGTATACAACGTACAATTTACTTGGACATATGTCACAGACTATAGAAGATTATTTCACTTGTCACACATCTCTGTAAATAAAAAAACTGCCTCCCTCCCTTCCAGCTATCACAACCCAGTGTTAAGCATTTTTACATTAACAGGATTTTTTGCTTCAAATATATTCATGAAAACCCCAAATTGGACCCACTTTATTTTCCATTATGAAAATTTTTTTGAGTAAATGTGTAATCTATATCGCTCATCTGAGGCTGGTTTATTAAAACATTTAATTTATTTTATTCCTTTTATAACATTTTCGTATTATACATATATATACACTGAAGAAAGCTTCCATGCTGTAAAAGACTTGCCACAATGGGCTCAAATTCCCCACCACTGTTCACCCAGAGGCATAAATGATACACCCGAGTCAATCGACCGGCACGTCACGTGTGGTGTGGTAAAATGTGGGTACTCCCATCTCTTCCAAAAAGTCTGGCCAGAGTAGGGTACATACCAAATACCCTCTAGAGGAGCTTTCTGGAGCTTCCTCTGATGGAGGCCTTTCTGCCAACAGTGGCGTGAGCAAACAATTGTAGGGCTCCATCTTTACCTCGTATTATATATACACTATATTTATCCATTCATTGTATACATTTTATACATAAATATAGCATTGCATTTTATACAGTGTACACGGCGTATTTGCTCATGCTGTCTGATGTTATCTGTCAAGAAGTACAGCTTCGGCTTCATCAATGACCAAAAAACCTTTAATTATCTCTTAAGTCAGCAAAATGGCACCCAATCACACTTCAAAAATCACTGCTGACTGGAATTACCCCCTAATTATGCTAATAACGGTGATGTGATTTAGTTTACCGTGAAGTTGTTTTACATTTGACTGTTGTTTTTTTAGATATTCATTATTTGCTGTTACATGTTTACTGCCTTGCTACTTCTGCCATCACCATCGGTTATGATGAATCCACTGCTGGATTAAGGGCTGCAGAGTTTAAGTCCCTATGTCAGGTATCTTCACTAGCCTAAATTGATTAGCATGGTGATGTATGGGCACATATCTTCCTCCACGACGGTAGTGCAGCCATTCATTGACCTTGAAAATCTAGCAACATTTTATGCACTTCAATGATGCCTTTCAGAATAATTGCTACAGATCGCTATTTCCTTTATAGATGTACTTATGTTCACTCATTCAATAGAGAACACTAGATCTGGCATTACTAAACAACTATATTTTGCAAAGAATGTTGGTGTATCGTGTTAAGAACTTTTATGGACTATTATAGACGTTTATGTTAAATGTTTACTTGCCCTGCCGATGAGATTACTTGTTTATAAGCCATCATATATTCATAATGACATTGTCCTCTGTTATGTTGCTGTTGTTGCAGAAGTTCGATCAGTCAGTTACTAAACTGCTAGCTTTTTGAGCCTTGAAATGTGCTTAATCATTCTTTGTTGCCGTGATCTGGCACTCAAAACTCTCACCTTTTGTATGAAATGCGACAATGTATGTAACCCTAACCTTTTTCATTGAAATAGCACAATACAAGCACTTCAAAACAGCTTCTACATCATTCTCTTTCAATCAATTACTTTCTAGCAGTGTTTTTGCCAAACGGGTACGTTAGGTAATGGCATATGCAATTTCCGTTTTTTTCAATGTTTTCCTGCCACTGACACCAATCAATAATTATATTCTCAGCTTTCTCCATATTCAGCTGCATTTGAGCCCAATTGCCTAATGCATTTCAGTGGTATAGCCAAAAATAAACTGCAATCCTGTGTCACCAGCAAACGTTTTAAAGCTCCGTTGGCAAAGGTCCGCTATGAATAATGGTAATCATATCATTGCTCTATAATAAAAAATAAATTTTAGGATAGATCTCATAAATATAAATGTGCCATTATACCCGCCACCACGGAACACAGCCAATTATTATCAGAGCATGTCGATTCGTTACTAGTACAGCACACTGGTGTGTTGAAGAGCAATTGCACAAGATTTACAATCTGAGTATGACGTTTCGCCAGTAATTACAACTGGCATCATCAGGCGGACAGGCAGATTTATATTTACGTGATCTAACCCAAAAAACCTGTATTATGGATGATATCGGTGCGAAAGCCTACGTGTTAAACATATCATTGCCATTTCCCAAGATCCACAGGAGGAATCAACTCCAAAGGCAGGAAGTCAAATGTACGAGGTTGCACTCTCCAGTCCCAGCACACCCCGCTCAACGTCTTGACACAATTTTGCGCCACATCGCCTCAAGAAACCGGCGATCTGACCTTGATGCTGGATCCCGAGTGGCTGGTGGATGTTACGGACCTCGTGCAAGGTCACATGTTTGTGGAGGACACACGAATAGCTCAACTCAAGGATGGAAAGACTTTGATTGGACACAGGCCAGGCATGACTGCCATTCAGGTGGGAATTTCCCTTTTACTGTATGCACTCTATGCACTCTATGCTGTTGTTTTGTTGTTGTTGGGTTTTTTTCCTCCAAATTTGTGGCCTTGAGATAATGAGTTGGAGAGCATGCGCTCGCAACCCCGTTTTTACACGTGTATAATTTACCAACAGAGATGGCACGCCGTGAAGGTATGTCACACTACCAGGGTCTGTTTGGCCTTCAGTTCTATGATTGATAAACGCTCCTCCACAAAAAATCTCAGGCAGCAGAGCTTTCAGGGGTCATGGCCTCTCCTGCTCCCTGCCCTACGTCCTCCCACTCATTACCCCTCTTGCCCGCTTCCTCACCGTTGGAACAGATGCAGTGACAACTGATAGAAAACAATGTCTATATTGCAATTCACCATCTGCCACTTGACAATACTCTAGATTTTTGTTCCGCTCTGAAAAAAAGAGTGTTATAAAGATCTTGGACTTTGCTATTTATATTTCTATACTGAAGAAATGTATTTCTTAAACATCTGGGGAATGCCTTCAATTCACTGCAGACGTCTAGTGACTGCACATGTGACTCAATTATACACTTTCATAATTATGTAAGCCTTCACATTTCAAACTGCCAGAGACGTCTGATCATTCTCTCTTGTTCATACATGTAATTCCAGCGTTTATGTCTCGGCATGTGTTAAAAAAAAGTATGCAATTAGGACAAAATAAATTGGAGTAAAAGGCTTCTTTAATCTAAAAAGTAACTGCACGTATTAATCACCTATTTAAAGAAGCCATTCATTACTTTTTATCACAACCCCTACCTCGTCCAAAACTGCAGTCCAGCAGTAAAAGTAAAGTAACACAGATATGATGAAAATTGTGTGCAGCACATAGTGCATGTACGAGAGTTCTGCTGCACACCAACGTAAGTATAAACATGACCACAATGAACACGGTAAACAAACAACATGATATTAGAAGACAGATTCCAGTTTTATTCAGTAATGTTATTTTGCATGACTCGGCCAAATATCTCTTTGGTGCCAATGTTGCAAGAGTGGTTCGGCCGTGCTAGTAGTGTGTTACCTTTGCCCCACAATTCCTGGGAAAAATATTCATCAATCAAATGCATCCATCTGGAGAGACAAGATTTTTGCACTATGAAAATTGAGAGCAAATAATTTTGCTTCTCTTTGTTGAGTACAAATTTCATTTCACCAACATAATAGTGACAAAGAAAAAAAATGAAAATTCATCTACCCACACCGCAATCACTTTACACAAAAATACATTCAATATCTGCTGCTTATTTCAGGTTTAATTATTTTTTTATTGTTAATGTGCAGTATTATTCTTCTTGCATATGGGAAAATTCAGGTGAGTAGCAATGTTTAGGTCCAGGATATTTCGTTTCGGTAGCCAGGTGTGTTTCAACTATTCATCCACTGATATATCTTATAGAGCATTGAATAAGAATGTCATCCATCATCTTAAACATGCAGCTGCAGTCAGTGAGGGCTACATTTTTATTAGCATTTTTTCATGAGATGGGCTTATCTGCCATCTGATGCCCTAATCGGATTGATCTTAGACCGTGGTCTCCTGGTCACGCCAAAGGCTGGGGGTCCTATCATTGCCTCTGGCACGATGATGTTGATTGTGGATGTCAACTTCTGCCCACTCCGAACGCCCGTGTTCTTTCACGAATTAGGACCTTTCTTTGCCCTCAATGGGTCATTCCAGTTTTGATTGTATTCGTGAGCACTCGCTGAGGATCCTCGGCGGTGGTGTGTGTGCGCGAGGGCTGCGCACCATTATACAGGCATTGATTTCATAGTGCCTGTCATTCACCTCATAGCCTCGTTAAGCTGGGTATGTACGAGCTCCACGAGCCCAGGCTGGTTAGCAGTCCTCTGTGACTGAGTGGGCAGTGTTTGCCCCCCCCCCCCAACCTTTCGCCAGTCATCTTGCGAATTAGGAACGTTTGTTTGTGGTCGCGCCGAGGGACTGACGTTCGCCACACTGCTGTAGGAAGTCATGTCGAGTAGCTCATTAGCCGCTGCAGTAGCCGCTGCAGTAGCTGAGATTAAAGCTGCTGACCACTGCACTTTAATGGGTTGGACCTCAGTTAGTGTTCGAGTACCCGCAGGTTGCTTGCGAGTGCTCTGCCACTTTCAGCGAGGTCTTTAGCTTGGGTAGTGATGTACAATATGTATTACTCACTTTGCATTCGGATTGTGTAGGAGGTACATTTTCTTTTAAATAACTGATCACATTATTCAATCAATTGTGTGCATTAATATCACTGGCTCACTTGCTTTGGTTGTTATGAAGACTACATCATCAGTTCATCTGATATGGTTCATATTTATTCATTTATGTTCATACCATTATTTATTCTATCCAATTTTCTGAAAATATGTACATATTTCAACGCGAATAACTTTGGCAAATGCATGTCTCCAAGTCCAACTCCCCTTCGATTCATATTGTTACATCTCTTCATGTAATCTCAGTGCAATTCCACGTTTGAAAATATGTTTTATGATTTCAAGGTATGTTTTATTTAGACCTTGGTAAAGTATATATATATATTTGTTTTATTTTATTGTTTCCCTTTTACGTGACTTTACCGAAAGAACCAAGAATATATATGTAATTAAGATGAGTGTGCAATTTACATTTATAAAAGATTATTTAATTGCATTTTTCTATTTAAAAAATCTCTAAGAGGTCATATGCAGAAAAATATGCAGCCATATTGGACTAGACCATCATGCCGACCTAACCCCCCTCCCCCCCCCCAATTATTGCACCATATGCTAAACAGAACTGTACAGTCAAAAACACCGTTGCTACCAACATCATTGCAAGAAAATTGCATTATTTAACTTGTAAGTTTACATGCTACTCTAACGAACTGCATTGCAAAATTTCCTTAGTCGGCATGTGATTCTTGCATGTAACCAATATTTAGCATGTTGTTTTTTATTCATGCAGGCCCAGATGCACCAGAAGCACCCTTTAAATAAAATATGCCTCCTGGAGTTGTTAAAAATTGTATTTGTATGCAGATAATATCCCCGGTGTCGGACATGATATTGGGAGAGCGCGCGGTGACAGTGAGTGAACAGAAGGTGTCCATCAGCGAGCTTCACGTACAAGTCGTGTCGGGTTTGTCTCTCAGCCTGCACCCCAGGAGCAATGCCCCTGGCATCATGGAAGCGACGACCACGACCAAAGAAGTCCTCCAAACTTATAAGCAGGTACCCCATGGGCATTCCGTAGATTGAAAACTCACTTCTTTAGAACTGCTTTTTGTATTAACTTTGTTGTCCTTCCCCCGCACCTCCAATTAGCACGGTTGGCTACGTACGGTGCGAAAGAAGTTCAACATACATACATGCCCGACTGCAAGTACATCGCCTAACACCTGCATGGAACTCGTAATATTAGCGCAACAATGTGTCAATGAGTTCCTCGCAGGTGTCCATTTCAAAAAGAGTAAGTCTTTATTTACAACTAGCCTTTTGCCCGTCCAAGGACGGGTGTATTGCAGTACATCTGAAACTTGCAAGCGAAAAGCAGACCGCGACGTGATATTCATTGCATCAATTCGTGTGCAATTAGTAAGGGCGCGGTAACACAGACCTATTTCATTTTGAGGTTATAATCACTTGTTCATCATGACGTCCTTTTTACTTTGATGTCTCAACAGCGTGACGGAGATCGCGTCATGTGAGGGTTTTACCTTTGTAGTGAGGGTTGTAAGTTGAGTGACGTCAACAGCTAATTATTATGAATGAGGGGGGGTGTTCATTTGGAGGACGTCACCTTATAATGATTATTGATGAGGGGGGCTGTTCGATGTGGAGTGACGTCACCTGCTCATGATTATTAATGAGGGGGGCTGTTCGACGTGCAGTGATGTCACGAGCGTTGCACACAGACATTCTTTGCTCATTATAGTAGGTAATAATGGAGGGGGGGAGTGTCCATTTGGAGGACGTCACCTGCTCATGATTATTAATGAGAGGGGCTGTTCGATGTGGAGTGACGTCACTTGTGCATGATTATAGTAAGGGGGGGGAGTACTCCATATTGAGTGATTATTAATGAGGAGGGGTGGGGGGTGTCCATTTGGAGGACGTCACCTGCTCATGAATATTAATGAGGGGGGCTGGTCAATGTGGAGTGACGTCACGAACGTTAAGGACAGACATTCCTGGGTGATTATACAGTCCCTCCAGAAAAACGCGGAGTTTTTTGGTGATTGTTGCGGGCAAAAATCGTTGATTATGCGGCACGTTTTCTTAAAAAATGCGATGGAATATGCGGGATATTATGCAATTTTATGCGATTAAATTGCGGGAACTTGCAAAAATTGCGGGAACTTGCAAAAACTGCGGTTTGATGAAAAAGAGAAAAAAAAGTGATTCCCCCAACACCCTATTCACTAGGCTACTACTTTAATGTAAAGAGTCATTTCTTATTACTTCCTATGATAAGCAAGCATACTACATCACAGAAAGTGCTGGGAATATTTAAGTTCTCATCTTATTTTATTTCAGACGTTAACAAACAGATGGCTCAAACTTACAAAACATTGAGTCGAACAAGTTCTGTAGCTTTACAAAATGAATATGCTACAACTTCTGTAAAAATGAATAAATAAAATATTAAAAAATAAAATGTGTGCTTCCTGTTTTACAGAGGTAGCTATACAAAACAGACATCTTCTGTTAAAATAAGTGTTTTCAGTGCACAGTAACGTAAGCAATACAGTAACAGTACAGTCTTACAGTAATGTAAATTTACATACTACTAACAAAAAAGTGCAATCTTACAACTGTAATGAGTGACGTCACTTCATAACGTTCCCATGGCAACAGGGGAAATGGCTGCGCTTGTGTGAAGTAAACGCAACATTTTTCAACTTTCCGCTAAGATATATGTGACTTTTTGCAACGAAAATGCGGGGATTATGAAATCATGCAAGCCCGCATATTTTGCGCGCGGAAATCTGCAATTTATGCGGCGAAAGTGCGGCGTATTTGAAAAAACGCGCCCCCCGCATAAATATGCGGACTTTGGCTGATTTTGCGTGGAATCTTGCGATCGCATAATCGCGTTTTTCTGGAGGGACTGATTATAGTAGGTATTAGCTGCGTTGAACCCAGCCCAGCTGAACTCCCATACCTGTCAACCCATACGTTTTACCCATACTCTTGTACAGGAAATGTAGTTTTTGTTAGTGTTTCTTTCTTGTGATGGGACTTTATAGGATGAACGTTGAGATTTATAAGAGCACGGGGTGACCAATAAGGTCTGAATTGGTCTGTAATAAGGTAGGCACTGATAAGGGTTCAATAGGTATGCATATCCAGTCTTGTCCGAGCCTTACACCCTGAACTGTGTTCGGGCTCCCTCTTATATTCCCGAATATCCCCCCGTACAGTTTCCCAGTCTCACACACCTATGCGTCCACTGAAACTCAACGTGTACCCCAACCATAACTACGATATACAGTCCCCTACAAACAGATGCTTCCACGCAGCAAAATCTGGCTCGTTTATCAAGGCAGACGTGCGTGTGTATGGTGGCTGAGGATAAAGATGTGCATTTATGTGGTGCTCAAATGTCCCAGGAGGTCAAAGTAACTTGCAACATCATATCTCAACCATTCCAATGCCCTGCTGAAGTCGAGCCAAGGTGATCCCTGGTGGCAGCTATCACCGTGCAGCACGACCCTGTTGCTGGGTAATAGCCTGTGAGTAACATGATGCATTTCACTTCATACCTTGCTCATCAGCAGAGATATTAAACGAAAACGCACAAGCTTCTCATAGGCATCGGTACAATGTGGCTGAATGTCATTTCCACCCTAATCGGTGTTTCAAATTTCTGGAGTCCATCGGCCAAAAATGATCCAGCGCTTGTGCGCCCGTAATTTTAATTATTTATATTGGTGCATGTAATCTCCACCAATCTCGCTCTACATGGCTTAACCATGCGAAAGGTACATTATAAGGACACATTGTGTACAGGCAGGTGTGGTGAGTTCACGAGCCATTCGTGGAAGAATCATATCCTACGTATGCTCGCCTTGTACCACCGCTAAGCACATGGCTGCATATGAGGTCCTGCACCCAGTATGCCATTGCCACACCTAGTACACAACTATAAGGCAACAACCCCTTGCTGTCTTATGCCTCCTTAGCAGCCTGTTGCTGCCAATGTGTGTTTGAATAGATTCAAAGGCTCTGGGAATTAAGGTGTATTACATTGGTCTCGCTAACAATCGAGGTAGGGAACTATATTCAAGAATTTGTTATGGTTCCATAGACAATGAGATGATTCAAGGTCACTTCAGACCTCTAATGTCTAACATATTACTTGTGCACAGTACATTTCAGATAAAATCTCTACACTATCTAGCCAGGAGGTGTGGCTAACATAGGACTGATACCAGACCTGAAATATAGGACTCTTCATGTGTCAGTCAGATCGGATCATAAACGGCTTTAGTAATTGATGTGGGGTGTGTCACCCCGAATTCAAGATTCTTCCATTTGGCTCGTCCGCCTGAGACATTACCGAATGTGGCGTTTCTTTAGCCCACGGGTATCGATGTTGACCTTCATGCGCATTATCAGTGCAGAGACGAGCAATCAACCTCAGTGGACAAATCGGTGTATAGGTTAGTAATAAATATCCCAAAGTGTACTCTCTCGCCTTTTCAAAACTTGAAACATCTGGGCACAATTTCACATGAAGTGTTTTTCTGCCACAGGAAAGGTACTGCAGATGTATCAAACAAGAGAATAGAAGTTGGTGTCAACGGAATATAATTCAACCAGGGCCTCTTTAAGTCGTTTATACCACATTGCAGTCATGTTGAAAATTATGTATTTTACCCATTTTCAGAATGAGAGCCTTACCCATGGTCTCTGTTGAGCCAGTGGGATCCATTTTCAGGAAATAGGAATTAGCAAGTGCTTCTCTCCAGAGATAATGGTAAACCAATCTCAATTACTCTTAATACTCTTAATGTATTATGTGGAATCAGAAACCGACGAGATTGTATTCGGTTCGGTGGCATTTCGTTAATAGGTTGCTCTCCAATCATCATTTCTGAAGATTTTTAAGAACTGAAGGCTTTACAGCTAGCCTTGGAGGAATTGGATGCCAATGTGTGGAGGTAGATGATGTTAAATACACTGTGACAATAGTCGTTGTCATGATAAACTAGCAACATTTTACAAGGCATAATCTTCTCATGAGGAAATACTCTCTTTTGTTATCTCAGACAAAGAGAAGGTATTTATTCAGGCCAGGTAGTTAACAAAACAAGAGAACACGATATCCTGTTGGCTGGGCGAGGTAAAATATGTCAAAAGTTAAAGTTTTCTAACAACTATGTTTATTCTAGCATATCACTATAACCTAAAAAGGCAAAGATCCTCTGTATAGCATTGACAGATTGTTGGGGCAAGTGCTGTTAAGGCACAGCACACGAGGGAGTGGGTGGCCAGCACCACGCCCAACCGCCTTTGTCTCCCGAGTGGCAATGTTTCCAAGTACTCATTTGAGGCTGAGTCGAGCGAGGGGAGGCCCAGGACCGGTTCAGATATTCGTCACTGGTATCGAACGTGAGCAGGAATTGAAGTCGGGTCCTCGGGTTCAAAGCACAGCGCGCTAACCGCTGCACTTCCGCTCCCCACACTTTAAACTAATCACCTGTTAACGTAAGTTTAGCCTAGAATTAATATTTACCTCCCCAGATTTTGCATGAGATTCTACCTCTCAGGGCTTGTGGGTTTCGATGCTTCTGCTATGCTCTTGAGGAGAGGAAATGGAATTAATATTTCCCCCCATTGTCCCTTATAGAAGAGCTACGGCAAAAGATATGCAAATTTAACGTAGATCCCAATTGGTCCAGTAGAGCTTACATTTTTTTAGATGTTTGAACATTGCTGGTGGAAGTACTGTACTTTCTGCTGGGATAACATCACCTTCTGTCTAAATCCGGAGAACTCCATGTCATAACCTGTGTATAACCCCACAGCAAGAGTTCCCAAGAAAACTGCACGACCTCCAATTGAAATACAGGAAGGAGTCTAACTTTTAATGTGTATCATAGTAGTGAAAAATGTTTCCTCCCTCGTATTCTACAAAGGCTTTTAAGTCGAATGAACAAGCCAAAAAGGAATTGTTTTTTTTACCTCAACAGAAGTCTTAACAGAAATCGCAGCAGAACAGCTTC